CTTCAGCCACCGAGGAATAACACTATACCATTTCCTTGCCAGAGCCTGCCAAATAAAAGGAAAGAACCGAAATTTGGATGTCAATCCCGTGCATTCCGCCGGGCGAATGAATGAAAATGGTGGCTCTCCCCGCTCAGCTGGGAGCAGCCGAGAGTTCACGCGCATGCGCTCTCGCCTCTCGCTCTACGCCGCGGGTTGACTGGCTCACTCGGGAGGGGTGCGTTACGGCGGCGAGATCATAGGATGGCCAATACCCCAACATACGGTTCTGACGCGGGCCATTTGTGACGCTACGCCTAAAGATTGCATAGTGACGTTATGCCGCTGACGTCACGCCGATTGACACGACTATGACGTCACGCCGCGCATTACGTCAGCTGTTACCTGGCGTCAGCTGACATCATGGCGTGACATTGTCATGTCAAGTCACGTTGAACATTGACGCCACGCGACTTAAGGCTCTGCATACTCCGACGTCGAGGGTGGCAAAAGCGGCGTATAGCGCAGCGCACACAGCTGCTGACTGGTCGCAGACATTGAGTTCCTGCTTGTCGGCCTACGAAAAACGCGCATTTTGCGCTACGCTGCATTCGCTGCGCTCATCGTCGGAGTATGACAGAGCCTTTAATGACGTCAACTGGAACCCTGAGCCACGTGATGTCATGACGTCACGTGACATTGCGACGTCACAGGACATTATGACGGCACGTATGAACCTAAACATGAGACTGCTGATAATTGAAACAATAATAACAAAGTGTTTTCGCTAATTATGCCAGAGAGGTTCGCCGGATATAAGACGAATAAAGCTAGGTGTGTGCTAAGTTGGCGAAACCACGGGCGTGAAGTTGGGTCAACGCGCTTGGAGCTTAAGCGCGCGATTTTTCTATTTGGAAGTGTTCGTCAATGACCGCATGGCTGTATTAGTTCGTGTCCAATAACATTGCATAAAGGTTGGTTCACACTGTTGCAGCCGACTACGACCGAGTCCGACAAAACGAAATTTTAAGCAGGTTACGACCGCCATTGCATCATAAGCCGCCACAAGAGGCTTAAAAACCTGTTTTATGGGACTCTGTCGTAGTCAGTTGCAACAGCGTGAAAACGCTCAGGCAGCCAGACCAACGACAGAGAAGGTTCGTCCATACACATGCAGTTTCGTCGTTCCCTGAATTTCAAACTGGGGTGCGCGATTGTCGAAGTGTTCTTCAAATACCACAGGCAGTCCTAGTTTGTATCCAATAAAATTGTTTAACAGGTTCACAAAATGCCCTCTACTTAATACACCCTTATTGGTTTTGAAACGTTATAACTTTTCGTCCGGTGTGTTACTCGGTTTAATCAGGTTTAATACAAAACGACTCTACAAACTTTATGGTGCGCGCTCACACCTTATGTGGCAACCGATTCTGTTTTTGTTTGTGCTCCTTCGCTATGATCACGTCAACTGTTTTAAGAACCGGAGCGCCTTAAAAAATATAACGGCGTTTTATCTGGTTAGTTCTTATTATAATGTAAATTTGCTACCTATCTCAAAAGACACTGTATGTTTAGACATACTTCAAGAGTGTGACCCCAAAAAAGGCGACCTCTTACACTGTAGAAAGTGAAAGATATAAATTAACGCGTCTATACTTCTCAAGAGTGGTCGTGTAAAACTGACATCAATTCGATCTAGTGGCGTGGTTATCGCTTTCCTCCTGTCCAGTGCCCCGACTCAGGGGGTTTTCAAATATTCTTTATGCCTGTGAAGCCGGAACTGAAGTTTCACTTTGGAGCCTCAATACATAAACAGGGCAAACTGCGCACCGCACGAAAAGTTAGGTGCTCCGAGCGCTTTCGGATCGAGTGAAAGCGAGTGGGTTTGATCGCTACAATGATGGGCCAAACGTACAGCACTTTTAACCTGCTTTGAAGAGATTTCCTTCTTGTCGACTTCCATTTTTTTTTTCTTTGCTCCTTTTAAGTTGCGCTTACTTCCGGTTACGCTCCCCGCGTCGACGGCGTAGCCCCTCGTCATCATCGTAAAACGAGTATCGATCAACCGTATTTATCCCAAAAAAACTTGGTGTTTTTTTAATTATTTTTTTTTCTTGAGTTTGGCACGAGTGTAGGTCACTGGCCTTCTGTTCCATTGAGTCGACGAGTGACACCACCTACTTTCCACCCAGCCGTTTTGAATGACATTCGTGGGTTAGAACGCGCAATTAAACCAGGACCTCGTTAAGCGTTTCGTCTGTCTAGGATCGTCTAATGATTAGAACCGAATATCTTTCCGTATTAATTACAGCTGTGACAAGCGTTCTTTTTTCTAGGTTATTGCTGCTATCAGTCTTTATGACTCTATAGCCACTTCTTCACACAAATACCACACAAGTTAAAGCAGTTATTAAGACGTGGCACCGGTTTTTCAATGCCCTTTCCAATGAGGGTGGTTACCGCCAGTGACCTAATCATTGAATCATCCGTCGGCGAGACTGTAACTCGAAACGGACGTGTAATGTGTATGTAGGAAACGGCATGCGAATTTCGGGAAGGACGGACAGACGTCTTTGATGATGGAGGTCAGGAAAAAACGTCGAAGGCGACTGACAGTCTCATTGGACTCGTGACAGAATGACTGAGAATCCAAGCAGCAACATTTCTTGGGAAGGGCTTGCAGAAAGCTTGTGCAGCGTCATAAAAAGTGCGTAAATTTGTGCGGTGATTATGTTGAAAAGTGTCTGGAAAAGTGACTTTTTTATTCCCGACTTTCTTTTATTAGTTTATCGGAACTTGAAAAAAAAAAAAAAAACTGCCGTGATTCGCTTTTTTTTTTTTGTGCACACGTTTTTTTGCGATGTTTCCTGCCTAAACTTGAGGGTGGATATTGCATCTGCTTGAATCTAGGTAGACCTTCCTTTGTGCAGCGGTCCCTTCAAAAATCAATCAAACAAGACATTCGTTTAACAAAAATAAGTATAAAATCAAAATGTAAAATTCCTTAACGTTTATGAAAATTATGAAACATTGTGTTCTGTAATTTTTCGTATTGTAAATTTAAGAAGAAAATTCGGACAGGGAACTAGGTATGTTGCTGTCTAACTAAGCGATTAGCTTCACACAATTGAAAGAGCCGCGACGGGTCACATGACAATTTTCCCGCTAAATTTAGCGAGTAAACTGAATTTTTTTTCTACGTCACGTGACACCAAACCAAAGTCATTTTCCCCGCTAACTTTAATCATGGACGTCATTTTTCCCCCTAAATTTAGCGGGTGTTGAAATCATGTGACGTCAATTTTCCAGCTAAATCTAACGGAGAAACTGAATTTGCGTATGGGTCACGTTATATGAAGTCGTGATGTCATTCTTTCCGCTAAATTAAGCGGGCAAACAGCCTTGATGTTGATGTGATGTGACGTCAATTTTTCCGCTAAATCTAGCGGTGAAACTGAATGTTCCTACAAGTCACCTGACATCGTGTCACGAGGCGTCAATTGTTTCGCTAAATTTAGCGGGGAACCTGACCTCTCTGTGTAGGTCACGTGGCATGAAGTCATGTGACTATTTTTCACGCTAAATTTCGTGGGAAAATGGATTTGTGTTCAAATCACGTGACGTAAATTTTCCGCTAAATTTAGTGGCGAAACTGAATTTGTGTATCAGTCACGAGACAAAATCGTGACGTCATTTTCCCACCCAAATTTAGCTGAGAAACTACATTGGTGTTGAGGTCATGTGACGTGCATTTTTTAGTGAATCTAGTGGGGAAACTGAATTTCTGTGCAGGTCACAGGACATCAAGTCATGAGGAGTCATTTTCCCCGCTATAAAACAATAATTCGACCTATAAAACAATAACTCGCCTATAAAACAATAATTTGACCCAAACTTGAATACGCAAGCCTTGTGTGGAATCCACATCACAATGATCTAATATCTAACCTAGAATCCATTCAAAACAAAACTACCCGGTTCATCCTAAACGATTACTCTCCACAAAGTAGTGTCTCCGCCTTAAAATCGAGACTTGGTCTCGCTTCATTACCAACACGGCGCAAAATTAAACGCATGTGTTTCTTCCATCAAGTTTACCATAGTAATTCACAGTTTGGAAATATTTATTGTCAAAAAGCCCATTATATATCTCCTCGAAACGACAACACATGTAAACTCTTTCAATACCGCTCCCATAATAACTCGTTCATGTTTTCTCCCTTAATATTATGTATTACAGAATGGAATAACTTGCCAGGTCATCTTGTAACCAACTTAGATATTACAGCGTTTGAAGAAATGTGCGTCCTTTTGTTCAATGAGTAGGGAACGTATGTTTGTGTATATATATATATCTTGTTTTATTTTGTGGTTAGACGAGATGTGGTTGTGTTAGTGTTCTTCCGTTATGTTTTATATTGTATTCCCATTTATTGCCACCCCCCTCATGTAATGCGTCCTCAAAAGACGCCCTTGAGGTAAATAAATGAAATGAAATGAAATGTATCGGGGAAGATAAACGGCCAGAAACATGCCTCTAAGTGGCCTAAAGATCCTAAGAAAGCGAATCGCTTAAAAATCTGTCCCCTGGAGACACTAAAACCCTTTCAGCAAAATTTACCGTAGCCCTCTAGCCGTCTGCTCGCGATAAAAAAAAAGCGCCATATTACAGCACTTCGACATAATACGGATATGGCGCGGTGGTTGTTATTCCATGTTCAAACTATGACTAAGAGGTAAACCTCGTATTCTTCTAGGAGCTTGGGATTCTCCAACGACCGAGTAGAAAGTTGGCTTCGAATGCTTTCTAACCTTGCGCAAATTCGGCCGTAGTATGGAACTGGAGAAAATGGCGCACGGCAAAATAACGTGACACGTATCACGGTTAAGCGGTGCAAGAGTGCTATTTATCGGCCATGAAGACTGGCTCCTTCAATGACAAAAACTGTTGTACACTTCGTTGTTTTTTTTCGTTTTTTTTTTTTTTTTTTTTTTTTTTTTTTTTTTTTTTTATGGCGCAGATCAAAGTACACGGAACGTCCCAGGAGCTCCAAAACAGCGAGTACGTCCTCCAGGTGGCGCCAACCATCTTCTCATACTACCAGGAGTCATTTCGCATCAACTACCCATTCTCTAAGCTGGGTGCGTTAAACGCTCGGGTTCAGATGTTTCAAAAGAGGTGTCAGTGTCGTCAAAACTTGAACACGCTAAGAAAGGAATGTGATCCACTGCAGATCAACAAATATCGTGTTTTTTTTTTTTCTCTTGCAGGAATTAAATTAGCGTGAACTTCTCATAATGAAGAAGTTAAAGAAAATGTTTTCTATGGCTATAGTGTTAAGGAACGCAGGACGTGACAAGTCCTGAGCGTCTGATTATCACTGCGAAGTCCATGGGATTGCGGCAATGCGGAGCGCAAGTTCGTCTGCTTCTTGCACAAGGGGTTCCTGTGATATCTGAACGCCGAGCTCTTATTGGCTGAGAGAAAAAAATAGTGGGTAGGCCTCGAGGCATCTAGCATCGAGGTCTATTCCTTATCCTTTCAATCGAAGCCAATGGGAGCTCGGCGTCGTTCTGACGTCACCGCCACTCCTGCGCAAGAAGCAGACGAACTTGCTCTCCGCATAACCGTGAAGAACGCCCGTAGAATGAGTCACGAAGCCAGGAGTGCGAACATAAATAAACCACGCCCTGCGTTTGTCAAGCTGTCAGGAACCGTAGAACTTCATCGATTACACGCTACTCTTTGTGATCGGTCTGGAAAACTGGACGCATGATTTGAATTCCACGCGCTTAAACAAATGGAATCAAAGCCTAATTCTCGTGCTGAGTTCTGGGATCACCGCGTCGCAACAAGTAATGTGCGTTTTCTCTAAGGGCTGTCTGTGGTCTATAATATCATCTAGATTTAAAAACAAAACAAAACCTGTAGGAGCAGGTTGGGACATACCTCTAGTCGACAAGCCCTCCGGTCAGTGTCTCGCTTATGAGCAAGCTGAAACAGATGGGCGGTAACACGATTACGAGCCCACTAGCGCTCATGACACATCAGCCTGTTTCTTAGAGCTCGGGGTTATGATATCTTTACATTCTACGACGGATTCAAACGAGACATGCACAGCTAACTTAGATAGTGCAACTAAATACTCATTACTCGCTCAAAAAGTAACTGAGCAGGTCGCTCGTTCCTGTTATTCAAAATAAATGCGTTAACCCAGCTTCAATCTACCGCGTCCTTTTTAATAATTCAATGGGCGCTTCCAATATTTGTCATTATTACTATTTTCTTGCCTTTTACTGCGTTCATTCAGGCAGCAAAGTAGCTTGTGCACATTGCTTTTTATGGTCTATTTAGCTTCTTTTTTTTTTTTTTTTTTTTTTTTTTCGTGGTACAAATTACAGACGCGAGCCGGTCTGAGACCACGTTTTGGCACACGTTCTCCTCCAGAGTTAACTGAATACCGTTACTCGTTATTTTATCAAAATGTTCAAAAATATGTTAGTCGTTTCTTCTCTTAAAAGTTAACAAGGTCGTTACTTCGTTACCAAAAAAAAAGGAACTGGGTACAAGTGACGCGTTACGTGCAAGTCAGGATTCAAAGGCCTTCTTGTATTGCAGACCTGGTAGCCGTGCCCACGCTCCCGACGCCCGCAATGGAACACTGGGGGCTCATCACGTTCCAGCCAGTCTTTCTCAAGTTTCACAAAGAAGAGACGCCGTTCAAGCTGAAGATCGCCTCGCTCAAGCTCGTGGCCCGCAAAATTGCACAGCAGGTGAGCTGCCGGGAATCGCCCCACGAACGATCATCTTGAAACGACGTTTGAAGGGAAGATCAAACATTGGGGGTGACGATATGTAGGAGTTTCAACCAATTTTCATCATTAAACTGTGTATTTCCCATAGTTTTCAGCTCTCCGTCAGTCAGCTAATAATAACCTTTACGAACGTGAATATAACAACAAAACAGTCAAGTTAGCATTTGCATGATTTTCTATTCAGTGTTCTTTTTTTTTTTTTATGTAGAGACGATATAATGCATTTGGGTATTTTCTGAGACTCCGTTTGGAAACGCGAACATCTCAGTGTTAACTTTGTCGACTTATTTTTCTACGGCGTTTCTTATTCGTTTAACAGCATGCTGTATTCGCCACGAGGTATACGAAGTGCTGTGAACCTGCAGCGATTTTACGCGTCCGCTGCTTGCGTAGTTCGCCGTGCTCTTCACCTTTAAACAAATATAAGGCTGAGAGGTTTAGAACTGAGGAAACAAAGCTCTAAATGCGCGTCCGCCGTTCAGCACCATTTTACCCGTTTGTGGTCGTTCACTCTCAGAAAAAAAGGGCATGTTTTTACACCCCTTGTCCCATATACGACACCCTAAAACTTAAGTTCGAAGTACAGCGCGCTGACATCGAACCGTCCTTCCCAACTTTCACTGGTAGCTTGATAGCCGAGTGGTACAACTTATTGCAATAGCTAATGTACGTGTTATTCACTACCTAAAAAGTAATCGGGCTTTTTTTTTGTATTACTGCAAAAACCCGAAACCTCAGTGTTTATTTTCTGTAGTCTTTGATACGTACTTAAGCTGTTTAATGAGGTATATCTGACCGTTCTAGGAGCACCCTGTAAAAGTTGAGGCCGTCTGTACGACGTCATCGCGCTGTCGAAATTAAGTTTTGGAAGGGGTGTAAGAATATACCGTTTTTTTTTTTTTTCTGAGGGTGAAATTATGGTGAATATATTATCAAGAACGCGTGCCGGGAGTATTCACGGGACGCCATTTTGTTGCCCCTAGGCGAAGCGCCCGCTTACGGATTCCCATTTGCCGGGTGCTCGCCATCTGGCGGAGGCTTATTGCGGACAAGGCGCCGCGTAACCGAGATCGCGGCGGCACGTCATACGATCCCCAGCTGGTAGGAGTTAATCCTGAGACCTATGCTGGTGCTTTCCAGATGCCCTCGGTTAATTTGGCATTTAAAGGCCCCAAACTTATATTCGATTCCTACGCCATATTGTCGGTGGGTTTTTGTTGCGCAGCGCACGCTCGGAACTAGCTCCCGTTTATCGACTGCCGATAACCACAATCCTGATTGGATAAAACGCACAAATTAAACACGCGTACTTGCGTATCCTTCGCTATTGAGATATTTATTCTTAGTAAATATAAATAGGAGCCAGTTCTGCATGATCATGCGCTGCGGAAAGCGTTCAACAAGGTGCCCACGTTTAGACAAACTTTTAACATTCTGATTTTAAGGCCACATCCGTAGATCGGTGATAGTATGAAAATTCACTGTAGAACCCGTTTTTTTTTTTATTATTTTTGTCTTCAATCACTTGATTTGAAGATAAAAAAAGACTACGATTCCTCACAAACTGGAGACCGCAGTTTGGCATGGGACATAGAACCCACGAGTGTACTCTGTTTTACTTTAAGACCTACCGCGGCCGATGACGTATAACGTTTTCTGTTTCCTGTCGTTCTCAGTCACGTGGGCTCCGTATCTTATATGCGGCACGAAAAAAATATTAAGACATTTCAACCTACCTAGAATTTGCGAGAAGATATAGGTGATGCAAAACAAAAATGTATTACAATCACGCATTTTTAGGGGCGAAGCTCCTTAGGGTCTAGCGTTGTCCTTCCGGCGTCCATCCTCACATCGATTGCCCTCCCATCTGTCTTCTTAAAAAAAGAAAAAAATGTTTGCGCAGTCAACAGTATTTGAACCTGTACGGGGAGACCCCAATGGATTTCTAGTCCATCGCCTTAACCACTCGGCCACGACTGCGGGACGAGTAGGGGGCTCTGAGATGTGGTAGTAACTCAAGAGCTGGGGTTTCTGTCATGAATGAAACGTTCCATAAAGCCGCTCAACGTCTATACAGGAGAGGGCGCTGCGGTCAAATGCGTATATAATCGCGTTAATGAGCACCCTCAGCACTAGCTATTAACAAAATCATTATCATCAGCACCACCAGAGCTTCGCCCCAATCAACATCATTCACCACGTGGAAATGCGGTCTTTTTTCTTTTCTTTTTTTTTTTTTTTTGTGAACACCTTTCTCCGGCGTGGAGAGATCAGAACGATGTTTTTCCGCATACCAGAAGTGACGGCGTTCAAGATGGCTGCGACCTTGTAGAAAAGGTCTATAACATCCGATGAGGCCAATCAAGCAGGCCAAAAGTGAATCGTCACGATGCTAGTTTTCTTTCTGGGTTTGCTATCCAGTACAATAGTAAGGGAAGGAGCACGGCCCCTTCACTGTGCGCGATTGGTTGAATCAGCCATAAGAAACACACAAATACGACGGGCGTCGTGACGATGCACATTTGGCGCAGTTTAATTGGCTCAATGGGATCGGAGCGTCGACGCTGCGCTCAGACTTGGAAGTGAAAGGGAGTATGGACCATAGCTACAAGTTATTAGTGCCGAGATTTACGGTGGCGTCCCTCCTATGTTTTCCTTTCCTCACTTCATGACCAGGATTTGCCTCGCTGTGCACCGGCGATTGGGCATGCAATATGATAAAGCAGGAAACGATTGTTTTGGCCAATCGCGGAACTTGAAACGCAGCGACGCTCTTCGTCGCGCACGTCGCGAATAGGCAACTTTCTGGAAGGGAAGTTACGATCTCAAGGCAACCCTACCATTCATCATCGCAGTGGCTCGGAAACCTGGTGACTGTTGCCTGGTGGGACCACATGTGGCTCAAGGAAGGAATCTCCGAGTATTTGGCGTACTCTGCAGCGTCTGCAGCCGATGCGCAAGCAGATCTGGTACGCGCTCGAACAGCTGTTTAGAGCAAAGCTAAAACCCTTTTCGAAACTATTATTAAGTTAGGAGCGGCCTTGTGGACATTTCTCCATAGTGTCAAAATCGCAATGGAAGTGAGCATTAAAAAAAAAAACGTAAACCGTCTTTTTTTTTTAACAAAAGTTTAGTAATTGCCACAGGACTATTACGTGACTTTCGCTGCCATCTGTAATTTGTCACGAGTGTCCTGACATTTTCTCTGATCTCTCCGAGGCAGCTGTAACGGCTCACTGCAGAAAACCCCCTAGGTTTCGGCGTGTTCTATGCAAGACAAACGACATACAAAACAATTTAAATTCTATGTTTGCTATTTTGTACAACTTGCTTCGAACTTTGGCTCTGATGCAAAAAAGGTAAATCGTGAAAAAATTTGGCATGCCTTGTTGATGACTTAACATTACGACGACTAGCAAACGTGCCAGGTCCTAAGAGCAGTACATGTAGCTGAAATGAAAGTCAAGAGAGGGAAGGAAAGGGGAAGGACTAAAGCCCCTTGATAAAGACGTTTTTTTACAAGTACCGCCAACCATTGTTGCGGAAACGCGCAAAGCACGTGTCACGAGCGGGTGCTCCGCCACCATTCGCTTCCAAGGACCGCTCATTTCAGTCCTGAGCCGCCATGCGCCTCAAATTCCAAGGGCCGCTCGAGACGCGGGCCTCGGTAACTGGCGCCTTTGACGCTGCTTGCAAGACAAACGCTTTAGGAAGAACCAGTGTATTTCCCTGAAGAGAATGCTTCCAATTATATGTGATCAAAGTACTTAGTAGGCAACAAAAATGCAAAAGATTTGAGGACAGCAAATAATTTACAACGTTCTTGTTCAAACCAAAATAGCTTTACACCGTTTGGAGGCCTGTAAAACTATTTTTTTATTAAATAATCTGGCACCACAGATGATAGCCTTTTTTTTTTTTTTTGTTATTAAGACTTTTGGCATCCATGTAGTTTATATCTTGCGGAAAATGAATGTTTGAATGAAGCCGGATATTGTATGTCAATCTTTTCTTGAGTTTGTTATAAGTTTTGGAGTGCTTATATGATTATTTTGTGCACCATTACCTGATTATAAACCATTAATACTATTTAAACATTCATGGACGTGCTGCAGTCACACACACATGACAAAAAACGATAAATTTCAGCGAATTTTAAACCTTGAGTCACAAAAACTTTTACAACCACACGTTTTTCGTGCACCTGAGTTGACTGGCCCGACGCCATCTTTAATTACACAGCACGGGAGAACAGTTCATACTTGCAAATTTCACAACCAAGCGTCAGACATATACAGCTCACTCTGGAATACTTACTAAACTCAATAACTTTCGTGTTTGGCTTATCAGGACAAATTCTGAATATTTACTTGACGCTCCTCGTAAAAAAGGTAGCACCTATTCTGAACGCCAATAATTCAAGAATATTTTTAGAACTTTCAGGTAGCCTTTACGCATACGCAGCTAATAAGCGATAGACTATCCCAAATACCTGAAAAATCTGGTAGGAAACGAACTGCTGTAAGGTAACTATACCTCAATAAACACGTAGCCGAGTGAAGTAATAGAATGAGAAAATTGATTATTCTTAAAGAATCTTTCAGCTTGTGTATTAAAAAAATACCTTTTGGAACACATTTGTAAATTTAAAAAAGTACTTGCTAAAAACGTGCGCAAGACTGTCAGGAACCAATTGATCTGGCCAGCCTCATATACAGTGACTTATATGCGCAAGTGATTTCATCGACTAGACAAACCAATCAACCACCGAAAATACGTCATGATACCGCAATATTCCGTCACTTAATCCTACCAAGTTTTAAGAAAGTCACATGCATTACATTTGTAATGTAAACTGCCACTTGCGTTATTACGTCTTCAATTCTCGCCTTCTTGGGTCGTGTCGTAGTATGCGTAATTGTTGCGGTCCCGTTGCCCAAGCTTGGCTTTGTCCTATTCAACCTGCTTTCCTCGGCATGTGTGCAGCTTTCAACAGTGCTCGTGGATGAAGTGCACAATTCGATGGAGTATGACGGCCACAACACATCCCATCCGGTCTCGATGCAGCTCAACACTCCCTTGCAGATCCGAAAGCACATGAACCCGGCCGTTAACGCCAAGGTGAGCCGACCAAAACGAAATCATTTCTCAAATGTGTCCCCTGCGAAATTAAAGTTTTATTTAAAGCTATTCAAATAATCCTAGTCACGTTACTCGCAGAGTTGTTTATTTCATAACTTGATTAGTGATTGAACAATGTGTGGATATTAACGGGACGTATCTGTAATAGTGCAGTGCATTTGAGATGTAAAATTTCCAGGTCGCGAAATTCAAAAATACATGACCCAATTCCTTCTTCTTTTTTTTTTTTTAATCCAGAAAAGGGGACCGGAATTGAACCGCGTTATTAGAAAGCTGCTGAGCCTCCTCGTTTTTCTTTTTTTCGCGAGCATGTAGCAATTTGTTGAATAATGCGAATCGCCTCATCGAATTGTTTTCTCTGTAGAACAAATCGTTTCACATTCTCGCTTAAAAAATATAACTTCCAAAAAAACAGGTTAGTTTATCCAGAAACTGTGAGGGAGAAAAATTCAAAGAAGGCACTTAGTCTAATATGCGCCTAACCCCTCATTGAGCGATATAATTTCACGTACTATTAGAAGTTTACTGTACAGTACGTTTTACTTTTCCGTTGATGCTAACACGTGGGTCACGGATTCTGTGAAAATTGTTAGATATAGTCAGATAGCGGGTTTGAAATACGATACGAATAAAGAGTTTTAGGTATAATTAAGGCGCATGGTGAAAAGCAGTGCTTAAGAGCAGACAGGATGAGTATGACAACTTATATATATATATATATATATATATATATATATATATATAAAGCACGCACACAAACGAAAGTTATTTTTCCCTTCGGAATGAGCACTGACTTTACTTTGCTGCGGTGCCGAACGGTAACTCTTTTAAACGTTTTGAAGCACCCCGAGACTGAGGAATCCGAAATTTCACGCCAGGAGAAGAGAAGGGGAACGTCCGGCGCAGCTTGTGAAATAGACAGGAACATTGTTCCTTCGCTCGGAAGCTTCATTCGGATATCCTCAATGCGTTGTGGGAGGCTCTGCTTCGCGTTCGTGAACAACAGGTGCAGTTATGACAAGAATTGAAACATTGAAACATTCTTTATTTTCATTACGAGCGATGGGAGGTATAGAAAAAAAAAAGAAAGTTGCTTTTATGCAACTTGACGAGCCTTCCATACCCCAAACAAAGCAAACAGCGACTACACGGCGCTAAAAACAAATCACCTTAGTAATAATAAAAACACCAATTTTACTAACGATGTACGCTTTTATACAATACGTATGACAGTTGTATCTAGAGAGGTGACATCAATTTCTAGTGATGCAAGATGTTTCAGTAGTTGCGGCAGTTTATATTTAACCCTTTGACGTCCAAAGTTAGTGCATGATTGAGGAATATGCCATGGATGGCTCTGACGCGTTTGATGTACTGAATTGTGCAAACAAAGGTCAGCGAGGTTTAGAAAAATGGTGAATTTACGTTTTAGGGCAGACTGATCCGTTATATTATGACCATTGGGAATAAAAATTTGGTACATCGGTTACAGAATACTTACGAAATAGAGTTAACGATGGGTAAATCTCAGGAACATTAGATACTACTTGAAGAGGTTTTCTTTTAACACTCTGAATACATATATTTCAATTAGTTAAACGAGTTGATCCCCATACTAGATGCGCATGACATAAGTTGAGATAGGAAAGTGATGTATAAATGAGGAGTTTGATACTTGTCGGTAAAATGTTTCAATATTTATTTATTGCGCTTACTATTTTTTTTTTTAAATGCGAACGTGTGCAATATTCCAAGACATGTTACAATTTAAATAAAATACCTCAAGACTTTTTACATGACAAACCAAGTCAATAACATTAGGGTTATATTTTAGAGGAACGGACGTGTGTAGTTGAGGTATTTAACGTAACAGAAATATCATAACCTTGCTTTTGCTAGCATTTATTTGAAGAGAGTTCTCTTCACACATAATTTTAATTTTAAAAGGAAACTTTGTTTTGTTAATTAGATGTTCACCGTTCGTACCAGAAAAAAAAAATTCACACTGGTATCGCTCGCATGAATGAGAAACTCGACACTAGAATTAATACTAATAATATCGTTTATGGGAAAAAGAAATAAAACTGGACCGAAAATGCTCCCCCGCGGAAACATCGGAATTACTTTGGAGCAAAGAGGACTTATCCTCGTTTATGGAGTCATATATTGGTACCAGTTTTAAAAACAGGACTTTAACAAGGAAAGGAATGTAGTCGGTTGGGCGCGTTGGTTCTGATTAAACATGGCTAAAATGGCGCACAAAAAAGCGGGCAGAGGAAAGAAACACGTAGACGATAGACAGGCGCACACTCACAACTCGTATGTATTGGAAGGAAAAAGGAAAGAAAAAAGTATAAACGGGGGAATCAGCTCGAGCGACGGCCACAGAGGCACCAGGGCGCATGAACTCGAGCGGGCACTCGGATTCAGCCAAACGCATAGGATTGTTTCTTCCTCGAACAAAGGGATCGAGGAAGAAACGGTTTATAAAGCAAATGAGTTAATGCTTCTTTCTGGCGTATAGTTTTTTTTTTTTTTAAGGAGACTTTAAATATCACCATCATTTGTCCTCAAAGCATAAACGTTAGAAAAATCGAAAAATGTGCAGCCACTCGCCGCCGTCAAACGTCATTGGTTGGTTGCGTCGTGACGTCATAAAATGACCAGGCAGGACTCTAATTGCATATTTCGCACAACAATATACTGACAATCCTTACCTCGTTTCGTATCTCCTTCTCGTAAGTTTCTCGGATTCACTGAGGTGCTTGCGTCTTCTGTAGAAAAATGCTTGGAACTGCTGGACTAGCAGCCATTCACTGAAGATAAACCTCTGCTTCTACAACTATCAGTTCCGAAATATGAAACTAATGAGTGCGGAAGGAGAAGAGCTTCAGTAAATGGTTGCTAGTCCAACAGCGCGTTGGTCCTTTTCTCTCTCTCTCTCTCTCTTTCGTGTATCTCACTACGTTGAACTGGCAATTTTCAGAGGCATAAATCACAACAATCTAGCTCAGTATTGACGACGCACGACGCTGGCTCTGCGAGCCGAGGTGCACGCGCAAGAAACCTTTCGTTATATCATGTTGTCCCTTCTCTTTTTATCCCCTCTCTTGCCGCCGCGAAGGGGCGTGGCTGCGTTACTTCAAATGCGTCTTTTTAGATAATACGAGCAGGAAGTAGCTTACTTTTAGCGATATTCGTAAAGCTTCAAGTTGGATTAAAAAGAATCAAGTGTTTTAAATCAAATTCCGTACCGCTTCAGTTTCCCTTTAAAGACACAAACGGCTCTCTGATACATTTCTCGCCTATGCCAAGGATATTAAATACTTCCCTTTTTCCGCGGTGTGTTTGTCATGACATACCTATTACCCTTTTTCTTCTAATGATGGTGTACACGCCTTGGTTTGGCGGTACACGGGTAGGTGACCCTGCACCTTGGATTTTAGAGGGGGATTGTGTTCTCGTAGCCAGCCGTTAACATGCCATCTCGCCTGTCCTACTTAGTAAAAGAAGACCGCAGGAAAAGCGCTGACTCTCAACCGAAACATTTAATGAAAAGAACACAAAACACGAACATCGCAAAAAAAAAAACAACACACACACACAGTTGCTGTCCATCAACACATGTCAAGGAAGGCAATCTCCTTCCAATGTAAATGGAGCGATGTTTGACTGACACATCTGTCCTCCCCCTCTTTTCTGATGTCGTAAGATTCCAGAATCTCTCTGGCCATCTGATCCCCGCCCCTTCCGATGATGGTTACGTTATCAAAGTCAGGGCAACACTCACAATGTGCGCAGTGTAGAGCAAGGTGGCCCCTCTCATTCTTGTGTTAACACATCTTCCTGTTTAATCGATTTACGCTCGTCTACAGGTCAGCCGTACCTCGAAACAACACCTACACCACATTCTATATATTTATTTTTATGTCTTACTGCACATGCGCACTTATTGCCGTTCTTGTTTTAGACTCTGGGGCACAGTTATGCCAACATCGACGGTGCCGAAAACACCATGGGTACATCATACAAGTGCTACTTTCTTAATGATATTTGAGACCTTATAAATTATGGAAATACCTTTCTTGTTACACTTAAGGGCCTCCCTTTAACTTCTTGATCAAGGTTTCCACCACAGGCAGCAAAACACCCAGTGGAAATCCCGCCAACCTTAGCTCTCCACATGTCTGCCAAAACTTTCAGACGTCGAATGGTGGCACGACTTATCTAGAGCAGCCCGCAGACATGAGGAAGCAATACTCCTTTTAACCAACTTCAAGTGTGACGAGTCAAAGGGAAAGAGACATCTCCTCAGCCGCGCGTAATAAGACCAACGAATGTGTACACTATTGAATTTTAACCTCAAATCCAAAAATTGAAGGTCACACCTATCGCGAAGTTTATGGGTTAACCTGATCCCTTCCGAGTTTTGGGTGAAGACACCCACAACGGAGTTAACAACACTGTCCTCCGAGGCACTTCCGGACCTGTCCATCAAAACCAGGAAATCGCAGACATAACGGAACACTTGGCGAACACGTGCGATATCCAAGTTGTCGGATATCGCACGGTCACCTCCCCCCCCCCCCCCCCAATATGTCACAGAGCACAAGCGCCCAGGAGGATCCAATGCAAATCCCATCCCTATGTGCGTAGTACCTACCTTCATACAGGATGAAGGTTGATTCTAGATAAAACTTCAACAGCTCTAGAAGCCGATCTACACAAACACCACTGGCATTCTGAAAACCCACTTCGCCGTCCATTTCAATACACTCGCATACTGACGCTAACATGGCTTCTTCAGGTGTGGAGTAGAACAAGTGTTCTACATCGATAGAGAACCCCACCAAATCTCGTTGTGAGGCAATGCTAAAAACATTTACGATACACTGAGAATTCAGCACCATTAAGGATCGAGTGATTCCAACCCATTGAGGAGGTTCTTCTGTAAGAATTGGCTGACGAGTCTCTGCCAC